CGCCCGAGTTCATGATGTCGCAGTCCGTGGACCACCTGGCTCGCCCCACCTCCCTGAGCCAGCCCGGGCAGCTCATCTTCTGCGGCTCCATCGACCACATGAAGGATTCCATGTACCGGAACGTGATGCCGACGCTGGTCATCCCGGCCCACTACATGCGCCTGGCTCCCTCGGACCAGCCTGCGGGGGGTTCCGAGAGCCAGCCGGACCTGGACCCGGGCGGCATGGGGATCCCTCACCAGTTTGTGGCCGGAGAGCAGCAGCAGAGGCAGCAGCAGCCGTTCCTGCAGCAGCAGCTGCAGCACCCGCAGTTTCAGCTGCAGCAGCACCCGGGGGAAGAGGCCGAGGGGAAGGGCTGGGGCCCCCACACGCAGTCCGTCAGCGGCTCCGTCACCATCCCGGTGCTGCTGAACGAGTCCACCATGGCCCAGCTGAACGGGGAGCTGCAAGCCCTGACGGAGAAGAAGCTGCTGGAGCTGGGTGTGAAGCAGCACCCTCGCGCCTGGTTTGTGTCCCTGGACGGGCGGTCCTCCCAAGTCCGCCACTCGTACATCGACCTCCAGGGCAACGAGAGGAGTCGCAGCAATGACGCCAGCCTGGACTCCGGGGTGGACGTCAACGAGGCCAAGCCCCCCAAAAGGCTGAAGGAGGAGCGCCTGGCGCCGCCCGCTATGGGCCCCGCGTACTCCAAGCTGGTCTTTGCCGACGCCGACATGGAGCCGAGCAGCAGCGAGAGCCGCACCGCCATCTGCTCCCCCGAGGACAACTCCCTGACGCCCCTCCTGGACGAGAACGCCGACCACCGGGCGGCCACCATCCCCCGGCGCGGGCGCAGCCGCGGGAACAGCTCCCGCAGCAGCAACAGCAACAGCGAGCTGCGCCGCGACTCCATGACCAGCCCGGAGGACGACAGCAACGAGCCCTCGGAAGGGACGGACGACCAGGGGGACAAGAAGAGCCCCTGGCAGAAACGCGAAGAGCGCCCGCTCATGGTCTTCAACGTGAAGTAGCGGGCGGAAGTGTGCGGGCGAGGAGGCGGGCAGGGGGATGGGTCGCTCTCGTTGCACAGTTGGGGGAGGGGAGCGGACCACAGAGGTCAGGCTTCCCGCACGCAATCTTGGCGCCACTTCCTGCCCTCTACATCTCATCAAATGCTTGGTGGAACAGGAACCGCCCGGACTTTTGACAGGACAGACTGATGGAGCGAGAGGCGGCTTGCGGCCAAGCTGTACTCTGTGTTCTTTTTCCCAGCATGCCCCACGACCACCCGATAAGTTTGCCTTGCCCAAGGCAGGTTAAGAAGTGCTGGCATCAACGGGCCGAGCGAGTTGGGCCTCTTACCCTTTTCCACCGACACCAGCCACTGTGAGCCAGGCAGGAACGTGGGGCACAGGACCTGCTGTGCGTGTGTGTGCCCACTTCTGGGACAAAGCAAGTTTCGCTGCTCTGAGAGACCTTCTGCCAAATCCCAGGAGGTGGACATGGCCTTGTTCTGTGTGGCTCCGGTTCCAAGAGCCCCTGATCCCCACCCAGCCTTGGCACGGCCAGAACTAGCGCTGGCTCCTTGCCCTGACATTATTGGGAGTGGAGGTGAACTGGAAGGCGTTACTGGGGCTCTTCACCCCCCCTTTTCCTTGGGGGCGGGGTGGGCAATTCGTACAGTTCCTTAAAAAAAATATTGTCCTGTGGATTTTCCAAGCCATAGCATGGTTTGGGGGGGGGGGTCGGGTCGGTCAAGTGCCCAAAAGCTCTAGGCTGATGCCCATCATTGCCTGTCGTGCCTCAGTGCCCCCAACAACCTGGGCGACAGTACCACAGACAATTGCGGTGGGTTTGGGGAGTGGGGGCACCCGTGTGGCAACTGTACATATGTGTGTGCATGCGTGTATGTCAGGGGGCGGGTGGGAGCCTGAGCCACGGCGTGCGTGTGGGTAAGCATGTCAGTGGCGGCCGACCTCGCTGCCAAACAAACTCCCTTGAGGAGTCACTTTTGTGCCCCCCATCTCCCCACCCCACCCCTTTGTGCCTGCAACTCCTTGGTCTCCTCCAAGTGCCTTCTGGCCCCAAACGTCTCCCCACCACCACCGCATCCCCTCCCCACCCAGGCAGCTGTGAATGAAACCTTGGGTGTCCACGGAAGGGTACTGCAGACGGACCATCTGCTCAAATCTTCCTTTCACTCTAATCCCTCTTCTCTCCTGCCAGGGAGCGCTTGGGGATGGGGAGGGGCGGGGGGGGGGGAGCGCAGAAGGAAAAAGTCACCCTCGGCCTCTCTCGCAAGCCCAGCTGCCAACTGACTTAAGCCGTCATCGGAGACAGCCTGGGCAGCTGCCCCATCCAGCAACATGGCAGCATCAGTGACCAATCTCCCAGATAAAAGAGCAGGACCAAATTGGGGTGTTTGTGTGTACCGATGGAGGGGTGTGTGTGTGTATGTGTGTGTGTCTTACATCGTCGATGGAGGGGAGTGTTTGTATCATGCTTTATATATTTGGAGGAGGGGGGGATACGTAGCGTGTGCCTCCTCAGCAGCCCCCAGCAGCGCATCGGTGGAGGCCTCGTGGACCACTGAGGGGATACGGGATGGTTTTATTTGGGGAAGGGATAGAGGAACCACTAGCCTGAGGCTTTGTCAGCGAAACGGGGGGTGGGGGGAGCAAATGGGGAGGGGTGGGGTGGTTGGCTGCAAACCTAAAAGTGTCTTGGGGGGGGGGCTTCTTTTGAAACCAATGAGTCGGGCCTGACCCCTTCTGAAATGGTAGAGGGCCGCCGGAGAAGTCAACAGGTCAGAAACCATTTGGGAGGAGAGAGGGAAAAGGTTGTTGTTTCTGACGCACCTCAGCACCCACTGAAGAGAGTTAATAAAGCTTCACAATTCCAGCTGCAGACCCTGTCCTTCTGGAGCCCCTTCCCCACGACACCAGGGCTTGCTCGCCATGTCTTAGAAGCAGCTGAAACCCCTGGGAGGAGTTTTTTTGGGGACAGGCGATGAGTCACTCCATGGTCAAGATAGCGAGGCCCTTTACATACGCTCAGAAACACTTTGTTCTCCGTCCACCTGTTCCAGGGCTGAGCCTTAGCAATGAAAACAGGTTCTGGGGCTGAGCCCTAGCTCAACGAAACCCTTCTCCCCCCTGAGTCAGGCTTTTCAGTTTGACTGTTGCCCTGGGGGCGGGGGCAACTTTTCTTTTTCTCTGATTCCCTTTCCTGGGCGATTTCTACTTTTATCTTCTTCCACAGCATATGCTTGTAGGATTTCTCTCCTCCCACCCGCTTTTGCTGGTCCACCGCATTAGAGATAACTGTCACCTGTGGAACTCCCTGTTCCTTGATGTGGCTGTCGGCAAAGACTCTCTAGAGAGGACACCAGCAGCCACCGGGAGCTGTTTTGCATGAGATGAAGATTTCTGCATGGAAGTCTGCACTGAAAACTGCAGAAATCCCATGTGTCATGCATATGTCTCTTTCCCAACTTGTACACATTCATACCTTCCGCGTGGGGGGGAAATAATCTTCTGTGAATCAGCTCCACACCCAAGCTACTACTGTCCTTGACAATATCTATGAGTATTGGAGGAGCATCTTGGACTGGTGACTAGCCCAGCAGAAGAAAGCCAGCAGTGTTTTTTGCAGGCTGTAGGTGCTTAATGCACAGAGAGAATCCACTGAGCCATAACGGATTTCCCTGCTCTCCCCCCTTTGTGGAATCCCCCCCTTTTTTTTAACTCTTAGCCTCATGGCCAGTCAAAGAGCTGTTTCAAATGAGCATACATCGCTGCAAGTGCATTGCATATTTCAAGTGTCAACTGTCACAGTTGTCAATGGGGTTGTGCCTGTTCCATCTCCTAGATCACGCCTTGCTCAGCCTGATCAGTACCAGCAAACCTGTCTCCAAGGTGGCTGGTCCTAAGCTACCGTTGCCATGACGTTGAGGTACCTCTCAGATCAATGCACATCTTGTAGGAATGTAGCCCTATACAAAGATGGTGGCACTGTAGTCAAACCCACAGGAAGTTATATGTAATTAAATGCAGTGGCAGTGCCACACCCCACACACTATCAGGACCCCCCCCCCCAGAACCAGATACCTCTTACTCCTTCCTGGTCCAGTGCTGTTTTCTACTACCTTTTTATAGTTGGAAATAAAAATACCTTGCACGTAAAGGGAGCTGGGTAAGTGAGGGTGGTCTCTGACACTGATGCATCTTTAACTGGGGGGAATGCCTTTGCTTTCTCTGGTGACTCTGAACTCTCTTGTTGAAAAACCTTTTTTGGAGTTTTGTTTTTTTTTAAAAAAAATATATTATTATATAAATATATTAAAAAGTTGGGCAAACTTGGCAAACCTGGAGACTCGGTGGCAGCTGCTGGTGAAACCTCATACTTGTTCTTTAGAATGGTATTAATATATAAACCCTCGGAATTTATCAAGGTTTCATTGCATGGTGCTTGTTTCCTTTCCTAGGCAGCAAATCCTTCCCCCACTAAGCTCAGCTGAGTTTAGAGGCGAGCAGGTTTAGACTTAATTCAAAAGCAGCCGCATACAAACGGGTGGGGGACGGAGACAATGTGGATTTACTCATGGGCTTGGAAGACTCTGCTCTTACATTTTATATTGAGCTCCTTCCCTGTTGGCTGAGAGAACTTCACCTGTTGAATTTTCTGGGAGCTATGCAGCATTTTAGGGGACGCGGGTGGCGCTGTGGGTTAAACCACAGAGCCTAAGACTTGCCGATCAGAAGGTCGGTGGTTCGAATCCCCGTGACGGGGTGAGCTCCCGTTGCTCGGTCCCTGCTCCTGCCCCCCTAGCAGTTCGAAAGCACGTCAAAGTGCAAGTAGATAAATAGGTACCACTCTGGCGGGAAGGTAAACGGCGTTTCCGTGCGCTGCTCTGGTTTGCCAGAAGCAGCTTAGTCATGCTGGCCACATGACCCGGAAGCTGTCTGCGGACAAACGCCGGCTCCTCGGCCTATAGAGCAAGATGAGCGCTGCAACCCCAGAGTCAGTCACGACTGGACCTAATGGTCAGGGGTCCCTTTACCTTTACGCAGCATTTTGGGGATCAAGCACCCACTGAGGGAAAAAGAATATGGCAACCTCATGTGGGATATAAGTAGAAAGAAAGTGGGCACTGTTCAGTGTGGAAAAGTATAAATGTTTTGGCCTGTACAAGAGCGTTTTTTGTGCCGCAGAATACAGTCTTTGCGAGCTACCATTTTATGAGAAGACTGGTGAAAGCAAAAGTGGGTTGCGTCAGGCTCTCTCTTGGATTCCCTACCAAGCCATTTTTGCCTGAGCGGCTGTGAAGAAAGAGTGTGCTCAAGCATTTCGACCGCCTTTCCGTGCGTTGGGGAGGGAGGACAAAGGACCGTTCCCAATACAGCATGAGGGAAACGGAAAATTGGTTTGCCCAAGAGAGGAAAGATCAGAGGAACTGCAGGCAAGCTGGAAGCAAAGAAGCTGGATAAGGAAAAGAGTTTGCCCAGGGCTTGAGGCGGGACTAGGCCACAGGCCTTTGCTAAAGTAGTTGTATCATTAGGCAAGGGCAGCCGAGGTTTCCCTGTTGCAACACAGCAAGCAGCCACATCTCTGGTTGCAGGGCTTGAACTCAAATGCTTGCAAATGCGACCACTGGAATGTTCTACCACCTCACCATGCATGAATTCATGAAGCCACAATAGATGCAAAGGGAAATTCAGCCCCCCCACCCCACAGCAAACTGGTGCTGAATGCTGACAGAAATAGGAGTCAACCACTGAAAAATGAGGCAGGTATCAATGGGCTTGGGAAAGGAACTTGGAGGTTTGCAAAAGAATGACAAACCTAAGGGAGCAGCAGCAGCAGCAACAAGACCCAGCCCAAATGAGGGCCGAGTAATGTCAGCAGTTTTGGGGGTGGCCGATGGGTGGAATAGCCTACTGATGAAGGAAATGGCTGGCCATTGGAAGTTGAGACTGCAGTGCGGCTTTTTGCCCCTTCTGATAAACTCTGGTAGCCCCGATGCCTATGAGCTTGGCAAGAATTGAGCCATGCTCATTGAGCTCATTGCTGCTTAAAGGAACGTCCTGGGTATACCAAATAGTTTTTTTAAAAAAATTAAAGGGCCAGCAAAGGAAGCTGCTTTCTACTGAGTATCTAACTGCATTCCCAACGACAACTGACAACTGGCTCTTCCAAGGTCTCGGGCAAAGGTAAGAACAAGAAAGTCCACGTAAATTTTGAACTCTGCTCCCGCAAGAGGCACTAATAGCCATCAATTCGGATGGCTTCAAAAGAGGATTAGACAGGGACGTGGAGGGCAAGATTATGGCTATATTCTGCCCCCCCATTGCTGGAGGTGGTACACCTTGAAATGCCCGTTGCTGGGATTCACAAGTGGGGAAGGGTGCTGTAGCTGGGACCCCAGAAGCATCTTAGCCACCATGAGAACACAAATGATGGACCACTGGCTTAACCCAGTAGGCTCTTAAGTTCTTGCCTGCCCTCTTGGAGTTGCCAATGGTGGCTTCTAGGACCTACCAGTTGTTGAAGACAGCGGACATGGGGGTATCCCATGAAATTAGGTACCTCCACTCCCTACGCAAAAATAGTGGGGTGTTTTGACAGGACGAAAGACACTTTCTCATGCTGACTTTCCCCCAAAACCTTTCCTCCCATATTGCAACACCACAAGCCCCCGAGTATGAGCTCTTTATATAACACATGTACGGTAAGTTTATGGAGGATGGAAAAGAAAGCTTAAGGCAAACAACAAGAACCTTTCCACACAAGCCCTAAACGGCATGTCTTGTGAGGACCTGGGGTCCGGGATGCAATGCAACATTGAAATTCATCTAAATATTAAATGGACCCACCAGATGTCAGATGGCAACTCCCGTCATCACATGTCCTGTTGTGTTTCTCAATAAGGGAAGATGGGGATTTTGAGTCGTTGGCAGGTAAGGAGGCTGGACCTCAACAGTGTGGAGTGGGAAGGACAGCTGGTAGTTCTTCAGCTAGTCCACTTTTGGAACTTTTGCTGCACACTCAATCTTGCCCCATATGCCTTGGCTCCTGCCCACTAAGTCCTCAAGCAGCCCCAGTTGCACCCCTGATCTGCCAGGCACGCACACACACACCCGGCGTTCCAGGTTCTGCCTACTGCATCTGATTGCTGGGAAATGAATCATAGCTGTCAACTTTTCCCTCTTCTTGCGAGGAATTCTATTCGGAATAAGGGAATTTCCGTTAAAAAAAGGGAAACGTTGACAGCTATGGAGATGATAGACTTAATGCTGAGGTTTTACTTGGTCAGTTTCTGGTTTCTGCAGATTTCCCCCAACCGCTGCCTTCCAGGGTGGAATTGAGAGATGTCCATAACAGTATATTATTATTATTATTATTATTATTATTATTATTATTATTCTGCCCATCTGAGTAGGTTACTCCAGCCACTCTGGGCAGCTTCCAACAAATAAAGACATGAAACATTTAAAACTTCCATATACAGGACTGCCTTCAGGAGACTTGTGTAGCCAGATAGTTGTTTATTTCCTTGACATCTGATGGGAGGGCATTCCACAGGGACTACCAAAAAGGCCCTCTGCCTGGTTCCCTGTAGCTTCACTTCTTGCAGTGAGGGAACCGCCAGAAGGCCCTCGGACCTGGACCTCAGTGGACCTCAGTGTCCGGGCTGAACGATGGGGGTGGAGACGCTCCTTCTGGTATACTGGGCCGAGGCCATTTAGGGCTTTAAAGGTCAGGACCAACCCCTTGAATTTTGCTTGGAAATGAGCCAATGTAGGTCTTTCAGGACCGGTGTTATATGGTCCCGGGGGCCGCTTCCAGTCACCAATCTGGCAGCCGCATTCAGGATTCGCTGTAGTTTCTGAGTCACCTTCAAAGGTAGCCCCACGTAGAGCGCATTGCAGTAGTCCAAGGGGATTAAGGGTTTCAATGAGTTGCCACCAGTGTGTTTGCAAAAATTAAAAGCAGGGAGGGGGGGGGAGTTCATATTGGAGTTTCTAAAACTGGCCATATTTCATGTTGTGAAATACAGCAGAAAGGTTCTGCTTTCAACTCTGCAATTCCATCTGTGCTGCAGGTGGTGTGGGAAACAATGTAAGAAGATTGACCTTTGATGTTACTGTAGGGAAACTCTTTATTTTTGGCCGGGTTAGCTGTGGCTTGAGATCCACACCTCTAATCTACAACATTAACAGTGGATTACACTGTAGGACTATCATAAACCACTGTCTCTCAACCAAAGGGTTGGCAGGTGGTGTGGGGAAGATACTACCTCAGGTTAAGAACAGTTTACAACAGCCCTGCAATGTTGTTCTCTGTTAATGCTGCAGATGGATTGTATGCCCTGCAGAATTTACACTGGCTGGACTTTTTTCTTAAAGGAAGTTTGAAAACGGTTTTAAAAATGCCCACAAAATAAGACTGAAGTTAGAGAAAGCACCTCCGCCTCTCTCTACTGCTACATTTTGTTTTTTTTTTAAAATAATTTTTATTAATTTTCCAAACATGTAATAAAAACAAACAATAAAACAAAACAAAACATACAAACAAATAAACATATATAATTTCTTAAACTTATTTTCCTTCACCTTACTTCCCGGACTTCCCCATACCTCCCTTTTTCTGCATCCTTATATTTACCCTTTCTCAGCAACCCTCTATTTCATTAATTGACTCATTTTCGTTATAATTTCCTTAGACTTATGATTTACAGCTGCAATTCTCTGTTTCTTAACACCGTAACATCTCAGCACTCCTCAATTTTACAACAGTTTTTGAGATATATTTTAAATTTCTTCCAATCTTCTTCCACTGTCTCACTCCCCTGGTCCCGAATTCTGCCGGTCATCTCTGCCATTCCCATATAGTCAATCACCTTCGCTTGCCATTCTTCCAGAGTGGGTAGCTGCTGCGTCTTCCAATACTTTGCCAGAAGGATTCTTGCCGCTGTAGTAGCATACATGAAAAAAGTTCTGTCCTTCCTTAACACCAATTGGCCCACCTTGCCCAGGAGAAACGCCTCTGGTTTTTTAAGAAATGTCCATTTAAGGACCTTTTTAATTTCATTATAGATCATTTCCCAGTAGGCTTTAATCCTCGGGCAGGTCCACCAAAGGTGATAGAAGGTACCTTCAGTCTCATTACATTTCCAACATTTATTATTGGGCAAATGATAAATTTTTGCAAGTTTGACTGGGGTCATGTACCACCTATAGATCATTTTCATTATATTTTCTCTCAAAGCATTACAAGCCGTAAACTTAACACCTGTGTTCCATAACTGTTCCCAATCATCAAACATAATGTCATGACCTATGTCTTGTGCCCATTTGATCATAGCTGATTTTACTGTTTCATCTTGTGTATTCCATTTCAGCAGCAAATTGTACATTCTTGACAAGTCTACTGCTACATTTTGTTGTAGTATGAACATCCTGGTAATTGACTGCAGCTGGATTTCTCTGTTGATTTCTCTGGGTAGCTCTCACTGCCATCCCTGTGGAGAAATGAAAACATGGGAATTATCTACCCAGACAATGAGATGTGCTATGGTGCTCCAGAGACCTGGTACCCCCAGCCAGCAGGCTAAGCACATTGGGGAGTTGGGATCGATGGAGGATAGCTGCCATTTATTGCTCATTCCCTAATTATACAATCATAAAACACAGCATGCGAAGAGTCATTCAAAGGGGGGGGGGGGAATCACCCACAAAATGCACTCTCAAAATGGGCACGAAAGCTGCCCTGAGCTGTTCAGAAATGACATTGACTCAGAACCCCTTTATAGCATTTCCCCTTTTTAAATTATTTGCAAAGTAAACTTCAATCTCTTAGTCCTCTTAACACTGCAGCCATCTAAAGTCGCATAAAACACCAAGCTTCACAAAGGCACAGAACTGCTTGCAATAATAGCCAGATCTGTAGGGGTAAAGAGGCTATACTAAGCAAGAGGGAAATTCAGATAGAACTCTCTCATCCATGCCTACTTTCTAATTTTTAACATCCCATGGATTTCACTGTTTAGCCACTTTAGGGCTAAACCCTCAGGTGGAACGGAAGGGTGCTAATTCCTAACATAATAATTAAAAAATGCAGTACAGTCTGGGACTGGGGCGGTTTACTGATGCTCTTTCTGCCCTTCCCAAAATAAAAATAAGATATATCCAACTCAGCTAAGCTGAGATTCCATGAGATGGATTGCTCCACCATAGTACATTGCAATAAAATACAAATCCCCTCCGCGTAGAACATTAGCAGGGGTCAGGGAGAAGGCGACTGCTAGCCCAGAATACCATCGATAACTCTTGTTAAGGGTGCAGGTTGATGTGAAAAACCTCTACATGCTAACGGGAACACGCTGCTGCTGTAGCCCGACTACAGGAATTTGAGTGAAGCAGCGTCTTCACGCGCCCTCTAGAGGCCTTGCAGTTGCGCGCCCACCTATTGACTTTAAATGGCGACTTCAGAAGTTCTTTGTTAGAAGGGGAGGAAAATAACAGGAAAAGGGAGCAAAAAATTAGTTTGCTCCCCCAAACCTGCCAGGAATATATTTAAAGATCTGCGGAGGAGCTGAACCCCAGGGATGGGAATCGCCTTCCAATGCTCGCTTGAAAATTGAATTAGGGAATTGCCTAATAATTGTCCAAAGGGTGTTTCATTAATCTGGATTCTTCCGCGAGGACCCAGAGCTCTTCCCTACAAGTAATACCTTTGAAACGGCGGCTTATTCAGTCAGTAGTGTGTAAAACTTGCCAATGCAGCTGGTTATAACGCCTGTGCATGATAGAACATGAATTACAACCACTGGTAACAATGTACTGCAAACAGCATGCACGATTAAAGAGACTCTTAGGAAGACTTAGTAAGGCCCAATCTTTTATGATCCTAATGACCTTTATGATCCTAAAGCCTAATTTACACGTGTTTCACGGCAGTAACGCTGCCGTTGTGCATATGCCATACAGACAACAAGAAGATGGGAAAGCAGGGTAGCAATCGGCACGCTCTCAGAGGCTCTCTTTCTTCGTTACCACTTCCGGGCTGAGCCCCGGCGTGGAAAACCAGAAGTTCCGGCGAGCCCGAGCCGGTGTTCAGGCTGCAAAAATGAAATAAAAATAGATATTTTTTTAAAAAAACCACCCCTTCCCTTCCCTGCCTCGTCACGTGCGCAAGAAAGCGCATTCGA